GTATACTTTCAACCTTACTTGGCCTAAATGAACCATTTCCCTCGCAACTATGGTTGAACCCGAGTCACCGCCGTAGTAGTCAGATACTTTCTCAATAGTTATTTATTAAATAATGGAAAAAAGTAGTAGATTTCAGCTTCAGGTTGTGTTGTTGAGACAAAAAACTGTGAGCTAAAATCTAATATTTTTCCCGTGTATAATACACTTTTCTTGTGACAGAAGAAAGGACGAATCAATATTGAGAAGATATTACATTAATCCGAAATCTGAAATTTTAAGTTTTTGACAGTAGGGACACCTGCGTTGTATAGGTATCCTTATCATTCTTTCGAAGTAATCAAATATCTGATGTCACTTCTGTCAGTCTAATTCTGTGATTTGATTGAAAAAAATTGCGAATTTAGTGGTTGTTTAGTAATATACGTAACCGCGAAGTCGAATGGAAGATGAAAGAACTTTCAGTTCTTTCTCGGAGATCGGAGACGGTATTATTGACTCATTTTTCGGAACTATAGCACAACAAAAGCCATCAACAGTGTATATATTATTATGTATGTGATATATCCGGGAAAAAAGTTCTCACTTTTTTCCCACGGGTAAAAAGTGATTTATGAAAAGTGACATTTTATAACCTGCCAACTGAGATGAAATGCCAAACTTTTTTCCCGTCACAAAAAAAATACATTTAGTCTGGGGGTGGAGTCCTATCTTTCGAAGCATGGCTCCATATCTTGAATATTACTTGAGGTGAACCTAGTTGGGTTGAGGTTGAAATGCAAATATTGAAACTATACAGGGTGGTCTGATTTGTGATACAAAAAATTCACTCTTTGAAATAATAAAAAGAGTTCATATAAACATACAGGGTGTCTGTAAAAGGTTGGAACATCGCTCAGGTGGGGACTTCTGGAATAAAAACGAGTTGGTTTAGACCAACTTACCTATATCCAAAATCGTCTCGTTGAGTTGGTACAAGGCGTTGAAGTTTTCTTGGAAAAAAATAATTTCGCTCATAAAAAGAGTAGGCTGAGATCGATTTTTATAATTTTTGGCATGGCTTGTTCTGTGACTGTAAGTCACGTTTTGAGATGTTTTTGAACATCATCAGTGACCTGCAAGTGTTTCCAACAACCATGTTGCCGTACACATTTGATGATAATTCTTCAGAGGTCAGATTGGAAACTTCCAGTTTTTTCCAGGAAGATATTCCCTTCAGAAACATTTTTTGTATCGTGTTAATTTTTGATAAATCTCGAGGTTTATTTGCGAATAAATAATTTTTGATCTGATGCATCCTGCGCATTTTTGAAAATTCCTCTCATTAGTCGGACTGTTCATTGATCATGGCTACAATGTATTCTTATTGTGAACAAATTGATATGTTGCTGGTCCTCGCGGGCTCTATAAGAACCTCGACAAGAACTCTCTCGTTACAGATTTAGTGATAATCATTCAGGACCTAAGGTGAGAACTTTAACGCCTTGTACCAACTCAACGAAACGATTTTGGATATAGGTAATTTGGCCAAAATCAACTTATTTTTATTCCAGGAGTCTACAGTCAAGCCATGTCCCAACCAGATTATTTTTCTGAAAAATGCATAAGATGTCTCAGATCAGGAATTATTTATTTGCAAATGAACCTCGAGACTTATCAAGAATTAACATGATACAAAAAAGGGAATATCTCAGTCATTATCACTACGAAGATTGAATGATATTGTATATATTCATATACCTGTTAGGATATTCTCCACTTTTCACGATAGTGATTATAAAATAATCAGAATATGCACCATAACAACTCTGGAGAAAGAAACTGAAAGTTTCCAGTCTGACCTCTGAGAAGTTATCACCGAATTTGTACGGCAACATGGTTGTTTGAAACACTTACAGGTCACTGATGATGATCAAAAATATATCAAAGCGTGACTTACAACCACAGAACAAGCCCTGCCAAAAATTATGAAAATCGATCCCAGCCTACTCTTTTTATGAGCAGAATAATGTTCTTATAAAAAAACTTCAACGCCCTGTACCAACTTTACGAGACGATTTTGGACATAGATAAGTTGGCCTAAATGAACTTGTTTTTATCCCAGGAGTCCACAGCCGAGCCATGTCCCAACCTTTTACAGACACCCTGTATACTTCCAAACGCGTCGTTTTCGAGATATAGGGTGTTGAGTTCGAATATTGTTTTTCGATAAAAAGTTCGAAACGGTTCGAGATGAATCATCCAAATTTCTCACATATACTGAACTTTATGCGCTTTATAAGATGAAATGAAAATTATTTCATAAAGTTATCTATTGGCAGCTGATTCTAGGGGTAGTGAATGTAGATGGAAGTTGCATTGTATTTGTCCAGTTATTATTTTTTATTAGCTCAGATTTCTCATATTGTTGTACCGCATTGAAAATATACAGAACTATTATACGCCAAAATCTGTTTTCACATTTTGTACTCAAGAATGAATTTTGTGTGATTTTTTCTTTCACCACCCCCAGATTCATCAGCCGCCACTGAATCACTTCATGAAACAATTTTCATTTCATCTCATAAAGCGTGATAAGTTCAGTATCTGTGACAAATTTTGTTTATTTATCTCAAACTGCATCGAACTTTTCATCCAGAAACATTATACAGACTCATATTTTCAACATCCTATATCTCGAAAACTACGCTTTCGAAAGTATGTTCAACATTGACTCTTCTCATTATTCCAAAGAGAACAAGAATTTTTTTGTATCACAAACCGGACCACCCTTTATAGTGAAAATTCACGTTCTTTGGAAGGAATAAAGATGAAACACTTTTCAGATTTCAGTATCGTTGGGCTATGCGTCAACTGACCATATCCATAAGCCACGCCCAGAATCGGCTTCTGACCGAAGAATATTTAGATACACAGTCCACTGAGCTGTCGAATTACTTGAAAGTACTCACTATGAATAGGAAAGTTACGAGAGGTGGCTCACTTGCCTAAATTTTGTACACCATATTACCAAATCAGGTAATATCAGTAATATTCAGAGGATATTAGGTACTATAATACCAATAATACTCAAGATATCACTAAATATTACTGGTTATGCGAAATATTACCAAATATAACCAATGAAGACCTTAAATTATCAAATAATACGAAATATTACCAAATATGATCAAATATGACCAAATATTACCAAATATTACCAAATATTACCAGATATCACCAGATATTACCAAATATTACCATATATCACCAAATACATATTACCAAGTATTACCAAATATTTCCAATATTTATTACGAAATATTACCAAATATGACCAAATATTACCGAATATTACCAAATATTACCAGATATTACCAAATATTACCAAATATTTCCAATATTAAGTACCTTCCAAATAATGATGGATACCTGATAAATGACATAAATTACCACGTAAATTACTAATGTATACAGGTAACCTCGCTCATCACTATCATCAATTCAACTATTATCAGCAGAAATGACCATTTATTTCGACAACTACAACTGATAAACAAAATAAACTTCAACCTCAGTCTGGTTCTCGGAATATGTAGACATTTCTACTGATAATAATTGAATTAATGAAAGTGATAAGCGAGGTAACCTGTATAAATTAGTGATAAATGTGGTTTATCAGGTTTCTACCAATTATTTGGAAGGTAATATTGGTAATATCAGGTAATATTCCCGAATATTTGGTAATATTCCCGAATATTTGGTAATATATGGTAATATTTGGTAATATTTGGTAATATATGGTAATATTTGGTAATAATTGGAAATAATTGGTAATATTTGGTAATATTCGGGAATATTTGATAATATTTGGCATTAGTTGGTAATGTTTGGTAATGTTTTGCAAAATCAGTAATATTTAGTAGTATCTTGAGTATTATTTGATATTACCTAGTTTATGGTAATATCTTCCGAGTATTACTGATATAACCTACTCCAATTGTTAATCTGTGTCCTGGAGAACGTTCATCTGGAATTTGTGTAGTCTCACATAGCTCTGACGAGTAACTGGAAGATTGGGCTAGCCAACTGAGATTCATAATTCGATTTTGAATTTTGCCGACATTATGGATTATAGGACGTTTATTTTGTTGTGCAGTTCAGATGAGTTACTATTCTTTTAGTATAGATCTAGAAAGTTTTGGTATTGCTAACATAAAAATTAATATTTATTTTTCCCAAATGACATTGAACATGGCTTTTTAATGTCTCTTAACAGGCATAAAAGGTGCACTTTTACTGCCTGGGCAGAAAAAGGATGTTACTGTGCAACGTCCCAAGTAATAATTGAAATCAAATTGGCAATTGAAATTGACAAATACATTGAGTGAACACACAAATGTTTCACATGGCAGAAAATGAAATTCAAAGCCTTGGCTGTTTTCCTAACCTCGGCTACTGTCACCGCACCTGACAGACAGCTTTCAAGAATCTCGATAGGTGGCGTATGCTTATTTTCTATCGCGACATCTAGTATAATTGACTTATAGAACGTGTATTAATTATTTTCATAATATAACTTGAAATAATATTGATTTGCGTTATACTAATATTACTTGGAATATCGCCAATAATACTATATTACTATAAAATAATACCAATATTTCCATATTATTGACAGATATTACTAATATTACCATAGTATTGGAAGATATTACTTATATTACTATGTTACAAGCAGATATTACCAATATTCAAATATTACTAGCTGATATTACCAATAATACCTGTCATATGAAATATTACCAAATATTACTTGATAATACCAGTATTACTGGTAATACTGGAAGTATAATACTCTACTGGTAATATATTACTGGCAGGATGTACACCATATTACCATAGTGAGCCACCCCTCGGGAAGATATATCGTTGCGGCGGTAGTTTATGTACCGGCGATATTCAACCGCCGCGGCGGTTGTGTAGAGTGTGTCTTGATTTTATCAATTTTTATCGATTCTTACCGTCCAAGTCCAACGCTTCACATTTCCAGACCTGTCCGAAAGCTCCTTCTCCTAAAATATTGAAAAATTTGAGCCGGTGTCTCGGAAACTCCCATCGGTCCGTGTTTTTGACGGGGGCTGATATCTGATTCTCGAGCTATAAATAAAATATGAGTATTGGAATTTTGCTGTGCATTACATACCTATACATGGTGATTCACCTAACTGATTTTAGCATATAAGTTGTATCGTGTTAACCGCATATAATAATAATAATAATAATAATAATAATAATAATAATAATAATAGGTCTTTATTAGGCGAAAGTTCAGTATAAAACTATTCTTACACTTTAACCTAACAATTATAGAAATGAACATAGATATCATTGTAGCATTCAACGTAATCAGAACTATACTCTGTATTGAAAACAAAAAAAAAAAATCAGAAGAAGAAAAATTCTTGACGAATGTGAGAGATAGATATATTATGAGATATGGCTTTCTATTATGAGTTCAGGATAATCTTTTTGGCTAGAGGAGGGATATAGATTCATTGAGCTTTTCAAATTTTTACAATGAGTTGACGGTCAATTCTTTGGCTAGAAGGAAAATATTCTCAGACACGTGATCATATTTTCGTAAGTTTAGTATATATCTACAACAGTTGTTTTGAACTTTCTGAATCCTGCATATTAGACGTAACCCAGTGAACACATATAGGTACTCGTTTATAAAACGTTGAAAAACACTAACTTGACGACTACAGGGGAAAAAGGAGAAATGTCACAATATAGTGAAAATTGTCAAAAAGGTCGAAACAAAAGACGAAATAAAAAGATATTCGGCCACCTTTTTTTTATCTCTTGGAGCGTACGAAAGAGAATCCCTATATAATGCTCGCGAACCATCGTATTTACCTAGAGAAGAGAAGTATAAGCGAGTTTTGGTAACGAGTTGTTCGACATATTTCGAGGTTGACGACAAAAAGGTGTGCTGACTGGGCTTGTCGAGTACGTCTGAGAAATGGGAATAAAATAATGAGATTGCTACATGATGATTCCTACTCATATTGCGTGGACTTCATAGAAAATTATCGAATTATAGAGATTCTATATCAGGCAAGAATGTATAGAAATGTACCAGAGCAGATAATTGCGAGTAAAGAATCAAGTTTTTTGACAATTTATTTGGATATTCCCCATTTGTTCCTTGAATCTTTGGACTTATTTTTTGTTTTCGATGATTTTCTTTTCCAAATATGATTTTCATTTCTAGTTGTTCAACTTTATTGCCCATTATACTTCATCTAATGAATTCAGGTGGTTTGATTTCATTTTCCTCCAACTTCCAAAAGGTAAGGAGGTTTTAAACATTGAAATGCGTTTTTCTCGAAACTCACTTTTTGTGCCATTCCTTCGTTTCCCCCTGTCGTCTTCACTTGGAATAGTGAAAATAATGAATATATAAATGCTCTTGATAGTGCGTACCTATGTCTCCAATTTTATTTCCGTATCTGATAGCACTATGACTTCATTGTGTTATTTCACAAAATCTCATCAATCAATGACAGTTCTGTTTATAGTAGATGAGCATTGCTTGAGAAAAAAATCAGATGACTACAAGCCGAAAAAATTAAACATTTAGCTGTCATCCATTAGATGGGTACTCAAAGTACGGAATGCTTATTTCCCAATCGAATTCTCATGGGAAAAGACTATCATTCCATGCTCGTTGAACAATATACTATACATTAGTTGAGAACGTTGAAATTTGGTTGAGAAAAAGAGAACGAAGAATTGACACGTTCCCAACAATTCATCACACTAGAGAAGCGAAACGTTGATACTTTCTAGCATAACACGTCATATATTTTAATGAAACGACACCTTTACAATAAACGGTGGAATAATTGCCAGATATAACCTTAGAACTTTGAAAAATAATTGATCAGCTTCAGAAGATTGAAAAAAATACATTATTTCATGTTTAACTTTTGAACGGTTGCCATGGCATCGATAATATTTGGGCAACTTGATTAACTCATACTAATGCTACTTTCGATATGTGAACGGCTGTTCAGTGATTATATTTCGAACAGGATGGGACAAATTTATTCCGCTAGATGGAGGCATTTCTGATAGAGGTGACAAATTTTGTATTTTGCTTCTACCATTTGATTCCTTCATCTTCTTTCTACAAAAATTGTGAAATTTATTTGAATCGATATCTTGTACTGTTCTAGATGAAATTACAATTCAGAAACATAATATCCCAACAATTTCGAAGGTGATAAAAACTTTATTTATTCAATAACATCATTGTAGTTGCAGGGCTGATATAGTGAGTCAGAATAACGTTTGTTGGAACCATATTGAGAAGGAATATTCTCAGATGAAATTATGAACACAAAAAATGGAAATACAGGGTGAGTCAGAATAAGACCAACAAACTTCGTACACGAATTCCTCACCTCATTTTGAGGTGAACAGTTCCTATCAACGTATGTCCCAAAATGCACCCTCACTCGAGCCCTCACTTAGATACAGAGGTTGTCGATTGTACGAAAAAAGTCAAGATTCCTCTAAATTTTCTCCAGAGCCCCTGTAGCAAAAAATATTGAAGTCGGTATACCGATCCAGATTATTCAGGGTAATCACATAGAGTTTCCATTTCTTAATTTTCTTAACCAGTGGCATAGTTAGGGTCGTATGTCGCCACATTTTTCTTTATATTTTTCCTTAGACAGATGAATAATTGTCGAATTGGTGTAATTTAGTCTTATCATTACCTAACCCGAATGTAATAACATTCTGCATGCCTAAGTGTGAAGGTTCTCAAGATATTTTCAAAAATCTAAAGATATTTCTTGAGGTTGGGACCCAATTTGCTGCGTGCTATAATCGCATAATGCTGAACTTTTACGAGAAATCGTTACAGAGTTATTGACCTTGACAGTTTCTGCAAGTCCATATGAACTTTGGCGGCACTTCCGGATATATCGGAATAAGTGGACATCAACTTCGATATTCCCAATGAACAGGTACCTATGTTCTCAATCGGTTCTCAAAGTATGTAGGATATTTTTCCTCTAGTTTGCCATCCTGTTCAAAACCGATAACTATGTCAATGGACGCACTTCCCCAAACATCTTTACGCATTACTAAAAAGTATCCGAGACTATGAGACACATTTTCATCAAATTCATTTGTCAGATTTGGGCGTTTTTAAATCTGAATGACAGGTTACCTATATCTCCTTCTGCATATTGGCGGGCAAACTGTTTTCGCATAATAATCTCTTTGTTATGAATACCGGGCGTAGCAATTACAGCGTGTATTCTTCATGAAATTCGTGATACCTTGTAGTTTGTAACAGAAACAATTACAAGTGCGAATGGAAATCACACTTTAGCCTCATCTTTTTTCTACATTCCTCATTTTTTAAGCAGTAGTAGCGCAGTCTATGGTTTGGAGAAGCATTTCTTTGACTTCAGTCGCATGCAACTTGTGATCATAAATAGAAGCCTCACAGCTGAAAAATTTCAGGTATCGGAGATTTTGGAACCATATATAGTGTAAGGATTTTTGCTGATGCATGATGATGCCAGGTCGGTATCGCTTACATGACATGGCCAGTTCATATAGCTCGAATTCAAATCCCATTGGGAATTTCTGAGACAAAGTTGGGACAATAGTACAACAGGAACGTAACTTGAATACTTCAGAAGAGGCACGGCAGAGACTGACTCAAATTTGGAAAGACCTGGACCGAAATGACAGACGTTCTCTTATTCCAAGTATGTGCCGTCTGTATCAAGAAATTATTCGTGCCCGAGGTTTAACTACTTGCTACTGGCCCTTCCGTTCAACTCATGATGTCGCTATTTTTTCGTGAATGAATTTGCATATTCATGTTCCATAAAATCATGTTATGCTATGAAATAATGTTTCTAGAGTGATAGGAAAGATGTTGTAGTGAATAAAAATAATGAATATCAAAGAGAGAAGTCGAAAGAAAATTTCAAATTTCAACTTGATGGTGATGTAATTATTACAATCTATTCAGGGTATTACAAATTGCATGAATGAGACACGCTGTGATTGCTGCACTCGGTGTGTATAAAAAAGAGTTTTGACGAAAATGTCTCTCAAACTTTCGCCTACTTCTTTTTTGATTAAGTGTACCTATATCGAGACCTATTATATCGATATCATTTTCAGCAGTCAGTGAGGAAACCCCCCAAGTACAGTTTTTCATCAAAACTACAGGGCATTGAAGTGCATCACAATGGCGAGATACTCAGTACCAAATATATCAATTCACCTACGATAAAAATGCTTTCAGAACATAAAGAAAGTATATGAACATCATTCTGACTATTCAACAGAAAACAACTACTTTCCTGGCTATTTGCCACGTCGAACATATTTTCATTCGGAGATATTGTGTTGAATTCTTATCGTGTGTGTTCAATGAACATAATGCAATGTTCGTTGTGGCGTATAGCCAGGAAAGTAGTTGTTTTCTGATGAATAAACCGAGGAAGAATTGATATCTTCATGACATAGACAATGCGAATCCTCAATGATTTATTCAAATATATAATTTTTCAATGTTCATAATTTATCTGAGAATATTCCTTTTCATTACATTCACCCAATCAAGAGATTCCAACTTGAACGAAAGAAACTATAGTTATTTGTATTGACCCTCAATCGCAAATTCGTGATTAGGTTTTTCCAATTCACAATTTCTCTCTACGTCCTGTCTGATGGATATCGATTTGTCATACATCCGAAGAAAAAAAAAGATAGTTGAATAATTGTGAAATTACATCTTCCAGGGTTTCAATGATTATCTTTTGAATGCCATCTTTTAACTTCAATCTTGTTCCATTTCAAACATATTATAAGGTAACCTTTTTGAAAGAAAACAAATGATTTGAAAAGGTGACCTGGAATCGTTGATGTTCATCAGATGACATTTCGTGGTTAAAATGGCTTGTATAACTGGGTTTTTCTCGGTGTGGAATGCCTCTATTTCCTCACTGAATGATTTGATGCCGTATCTATCTGTGTCTAATCGACAAGTTATGTTCACTATTTTCTACATTCTCCATAAATACGAAATAAACTCTTCAGATCCTGATTTGAATAACTAAGATTCTCCATATCTTCTTATAATAAATGATAATCTGAGGATGAGAAATAATAAACTATGCAAGAACAGCGGGATGCAGAATTAAATTCTCCTCCATTAGTGAAGAGAAGAATTCACCATTCCATTTGGAATCAGCAAGGTGTGTACTTGAGTTTCACCAAAATCTGAAAGATATCTGATCGTCCTTCCCAATATATAATGGATACCCAAGAAATATCAATTCTCTCCCATCAGCTCTTGAAAATAATTTTGATTTATTCAAAATGGACACTGCGTTATTCCTCTATTCTCAAAGAGGATCGTTGAAACTGAGAATGATATAAAAGTCAGCAAATAGAATACTAAATAGCGAGCATGAGTAGTTCCAGAATATTTTTCCTTATTATAACTCATCAACTATTGAGAGTTGATGGATTGGAGTGATCCGATTTAATGCTAAGAGAACACTTTTTTTGAAATGTGAGTGAGGCCACCCTATAACATGGTTGATTACTTTTGGTTTCAGGCATATAGCAACCAACTTTCAGAAGGTGATCCTTCATGAAAATTTGTTCAGAACATAATAATTTCCTCGTTCATTTTCATTAAAAATTTCAATTCAGGGAAAAGCTGTTTTCACTTCGTGCAATTAAACTAATATAATTACCGTTTTCACGTGAAATATGGATAACAACGAATATGGATTTTATGGTTGAATCACGATTCTCCGTCATATTAACAAAGGTAATGTGATATACACAACTGATAATGTTGCTCTGTTCAATGATGATGAATACATTACATAAATCAGTTGTCGAACCAATATGCACTGATGCACCGTTATAATGTGATATACGTCACACAGGAACTTTCAAGTATGTAAAGGCAGGTCAGTACATCAATAATTCAAAACAACAGAGAGAGTGCCGCATTATTCTTCATACGGGTTGAAAATAGAAATAAAAGTTTCAAGATTGCTCCATAATTCACCAGTTAGACAAATGAGGAAATATTGAATACTAACATCGAGTTGAAACATGTATAAGAATAGTTCCAACTTAGAAGCAAAACTTCGAACATTTCGAATAGTATATACAAGGTGTATCTAAATAACACCGAAGAATTCCAGAGGGTGATTTCTTGTGATATATTTAAGGAAATAGAGTTCCCATAGCATGTGTGTCCTAATTTGCTACGTTTTCGAGATACAGGGTATTAATATTTCCATGAAAAAGCGGTTTTCATTCATGACTGAGTTGTCTTTTGTGGTTTTATCGAAAGTAATAAGGGGTTTCTTCTGGTGCTATTAGATTCGCAACAATATTTCCAGTGGCGTCACAGTAGGTGAATTCATCGATATTTATGGTGAATGTCATTGTATGCCACTGGTTTTTCTGAGTTTCATATTTTTATTTGATTCAAGTATTCAAATTACAAATTTTCCATTCCTCGTATAATTTTTGTATCTAGCCTAATTTTTAAGGAAACAGAAAAAAATCGATTCGAGTCCAAATTTAAATGTAGGCGTGTTTTCAAGACTTCCATTGAGATTACTCAGTAAACTCAATTAGAATTATTTAGAAATTTTGTAATACGTAAAAAACTACTCGATTCGAATCGTATATTATAATGTGAAACAAAAAAATTAATTGATATCAAATGAGTAGCTGAAAACATGTTTGTGTACCGGTTAAAAACAAAGTTTATGTCAGCGAAATTCTTGCGTTATTTCAACCAACCGTTGTGGTAATCATGCTACAATATTTTCACCCTTTTTGACGAAAGTGTGTTTTTCTTCGCCCATGTCTGTAAACGTCAAAAATCGCACTGTCAACATTACTTGTAAATGACATTCAACAATAGCATGCACGTATATGATCTCGTAATATACTTGTGCGTTTTGAGAAGGAAACTAACTTGGTTTAATAAAATTACAATGAAATTTTTATTCTCGTAAGACTTCAATTGGTCTATTTACACGAATTCAGTCAATTGAAAAACATAAAAACTTTCAGCATGAGCGGGATATATTTAGGATTGAAAGAGTGATGCCCCTAAATGTAGACAGCACGTTAGAAGATTTCCTGTAGCATGTTATGAAAATAAATGTATTGTCATTTATATTGTCAATTTCTTGAACACGGTATAATTGTATCTGTATAGTGATTTGCACAATCCTGTTTCTCAGTGTAGATTAGCAGTTATATCGTTCGGTGTGGAACGATAGTTATTGTCGGGTTTTTTGTTATATCCCAATTGTTGATCTGCACCTGGTGTAGATTGTAGATTGCCTTGTTAAGTCCAGTCTAGTGTGTAACGCCAAATGAAAATATATATATGGGTCATTGAAATCGAATGAGTTTTCATTTCAATCCTAATAGGAAAAATTGAGCAAACATTACAGTATCCAAACATTTTCTCTACTTTATCTACGAATATATCTGATATATAGTAGTGAAAGTGATGAAATTATGAGCACTTCACCCGAGATTTTAGGAAAAGATCAAGCTGCCACACATAATTTTTCACCGCTAATTATCAATCTTCGTCTTCTGATGTACCGAGCAGTACTCCAATTATAAATAACCGGTCATCACCATTAAATAATGAGGCACAATCGATTTACAATAATTGTTCGATTGTTATCAACAACTTTTATAATAGAGTTTGAATGATTGCGATGTTTTATATTTAATGGAAGAAAATGAATGAACGTAGAAAAAGTATAGTACGTTACACGTTTTGTAAGCTCATTACGCACTCATGAAATTTTCATTTCGTGCCGAATAGGTCAGTTACAACTCTTGTTACGTAATATACTATCAATGGGATTGATAATTATATCAAAGTATCCCTTGATAACATTCATCATGCATTCATTAAATTGCTATTTCACAAAATGATCTCTGAAGACGAGTGTACGTCCAAATATGAACAAATCTACATATATTCCATGTCCAAAATGGTGTGTTTTTCTGGACATGTATAGTTGTTGTTTTCAATACCCCATAAAATTTACAGAAAATTGCATTCAAGGTGCATTTTGAATTTTTAACGAGTGAATTATTTTAAAAAATTGTGATAAACTTGAATATTCTGTGGTACTAGCCAGGAAAGTACCAAGATTTTTGTTTTTTCAGATGATATAGCAATGCTTTTTTCATTCATCAAAACATTGATAACCATGCACATGACAAAAATCGAATGCTAGTTTGAAAGCATAGGAATTTTGACACAGAAAATATTTTTCTATATGTAGAACAATCTTCTGAACGTTCTGAACGAAAAGATGTGAAAAATACACCTGGGTTTTACCTGCGTGTGATTGTAGTCTGTTTGCCATGGTTCGTATCTATTGCTGAACGCTCTAGGTCCCCTCCATTCGTTAAGATCAAGACCAGTGGCATCTGAAATGACCATGCCAGATGAATCTTTCCTCTGAAACCAATATAGAATCGATATAACAATAATGATTCATTGAATATAGTCACGTTTTAAGAAAGTTAGATATATAGATTGATAAACATAACTATGGTCAAAGATTATTGGACGTAGCCCTCAGGAAGAGCTATCCACAGACACGTGTTTCGGGCTCTCGGCCCTCATCAGTACGGTGAAAGAAGTGCAAGAGATAGGCAACACTGGGTGGAAGAAAAAACAACGAATCGACGGAGTCAAGAAACAGAAGCCAGCTGCACAACTGTGGTTTCGGTCAGATTCTTAACCAAATTACGACAGAGCAGAACGAGATGAACAAGACAAAACATTTATTATGTTCACAGACAGTAGTTTATGTGACAGTTCAGTTACGTAAAATCCATTTATTGGGCGACGCTCCATCCATAGATCACCAAGTGAATCAAGGACAACTTCCCTTCCCACACGAGATTTTCAAAAAATAAGTGATACCTTAGTGTCAGAGTTACGGTAGTAAGGACAAATCAGATGATCAAATTTTCACTTATCTTTGTACGTTTCGGAAACGAATCTGCTCCCGTTTTTTACATGAAAAATAGATTTTTGCATGACAAATTCGTATTCGTCTTGTCACGGAGAACAAAATAGTATGCATTATGGCTATCGATGGCACACCTGACAAATGTGAATAAATAATCATTCAGTATTTTCCTTGGTGATATTAGATTCATGTTCATATCTTCAATACGAAAAATAATAGTTTGACACGAAAATGTAATTTTTTTTACTCGTCTTCTTTCTATCTATCAAAGTAGTCACTGAAAATCTGCGGTTTAAATTTTCTGGTATCACCTGTCCGATCATGGCCACCTAGATGCCATATTGAAAGTGAATCTGAAAAAATGAAGTAGGCGAAAAAGCATTTGAAATCTCTCAGAGATTCAAAAATAATATAAATTAAAAAACTCAAAACCAAAACAATTTCCGGTGAAACCGGAGCCCTTTCCGGTGGAACCAGAATTGACCGGGACGTGGAAAATATCAAAAACATACCTCTTCACATACCATGGAACCATATTGAATGTCGATTTGATACACCGAATATTATAGAAGTATTGGATTGTTTAATAAATTCTTTGACACCTGACATAGATGATGAAAAGTATAAGGGGGGGATTCCTCGTGATATTTGAGGAAATGAAGTTCATGTAACCATGTGTCTTAACTTGCTTCGTTTTTGATATACAGGATATTGAAGTTGAAAGTATCAATTGCTTTTATTTATAACGCCCCCGTATCAGCTTACATGGTGCAAAAATTCAGTATGGTTGGAGACCCAAAATTTCAAATCGATTCTCATTGAGGTTATTGAGTAATCGCAATGAATGTTTCGAGAACACCTACATTGAAATTTGGAGTCAAATCGAATTCTCATTATTTCCTCGAATACCTACTAAGCAGGATTAAAAAAAACACAGGATAAAAAGGTTGACATTTCAATTGTTCAATCAGTGGCGTACAATGATATCAGCCGTCAATATCGATGAATTAACCCACTGTGATGCCACTCAAGATATTATTTTGGATTCAATCACATCAAAAGAAGCTTGATGTTACCACCAAGTTTCATGAAAATACATCTGAGTAATGATTGAAAAAACAATTTTTCATGGAAATATTAATACTCTGTATCTCGAGAATAAAGCATGTTTGGACACATGATTATATGAACTTTATATTCTGAACTATCATAAGGAATCACTCCCAGCAGTTTTTCGCACTTATTCACTAACACCCTGTATGAGTAATTGCTTTATTATTTTCGTTGGTGTGATTGATTTTAACCCGCTGGATTCTTATTCCTTCAAGAAAGGAACTGAACTATTCAATATTCATAAAGTATTCCTGTTATTCCATTCAAATGAAGTTAATCAAGCAATTTCTCATGTACCTACCACACAATGGATGGCTCGACTGATATCACAGAACACTCCGTTGTATTCTGTCCAGATTCGATGTGTTTCAGGGATTCATAATGTTTTCATAAGAAGAATGGATAGCACTAATAAATAGTTCGGTATAGGTACTGCACGAAAACCATGTCAATTGGGATGCAGTACAGATATTTACGATACGAGTATCGTATAGACTCATATTACGATATGATATGGAAACTTTGTCAAACGAGGCCGAAGGCCAAGTTTGATTACCCGTCGATTATCGTAAGATGAGTTTACGATACGAATATAGTACAATATTCAACCTACTACTAAAAAGCTAATTATTTAATCAAAAATAATCAATATTCCTTGAACTGACGATTCATTAGGAATATGTAACAATGGTGCAATGGTTGGGCGTATGGTTGTCGCCTCGGTTGTCGCACTAGTGCGTTGAAGTATCTCATTACGATACTAAAATCAGTGTCGTAATGTTCCACATTACATATTGGTAGTAGGTAGAGTTATTTACGTATGAAAAGTTCAGAAGATGAGAAATCATGGTATTGTTCGAGCATTTTTACTAACCATATCCTCCTTGGTGTCCTTAGGCTTCCCAAGATGCAATTTCTTCCGGAATATCACAGCTAGAATCCCAATAGTCAAAAATACCGCGATGATAGACACGATCGGAATAACGGTAGCAGCGACCTCTTCAGGCGGCTTCATTGTCTTATTCAACTCCAGCACTTTTTTCCTCTCTTCGATATCATTATCGACGGCTTCAGGTTCTATCCCCACCGGCTTGTGAGTGGAGGTCGTGGGAGCCTTCGTAGATGGGGTATCTGCAGGTTTTGTTTCCACAGGTACAGGCTTCAGAATGGTTGTGGTTCTGGTACCTGCATACACACATACATGTCATCCAAGAATTCGGTAACATTATTAGGCCTGTCTCACTTTAAACGCCCCCCCCCCTCTATATCTCAACTATTGGTCGTGTGATTCGTACTCGGATTCGTACCAAATTTGGACTGGTATGAATAACCATCAATATGATTAGTTTTTCAGAGACGAATATCCTTCTGGCAAGTACCGTGCGTTTTTATAGGAATAATAAGTGGTCGATTTTCATGAAATTTTATCAGAAATTATTTCTCAAAGAAACTAACTTCATATTATTGTTACTCATGCTTCCGAACCCTCATAAACAAAAAATCTGCTCATTCTAGAAACTACTGATTCGTACATTCTTCGAAGGAATTTTTTTTTGTTCAATTTCCAGGCACCGAAATTCTCAATAAGATGTTGAGTTTACTTCGACAGAAAAAAGCTCTCGTGTAATCATAAGTGAATACAATCATATAGGATTAATGATATTCTGGATAGAATTAATATTCATTTATTCCGGATTTCCTTCGGAAATAGTTAATTATGTACCAAGGACGAAAAACTGTCTAACAAAATTTCGGAGCATCGGCTGGGGATGGTCCTGCACGATTCGCTGTTGCGTTCCAATTAACAAGTGCTGCTCCTTAAGTGGCGCATGGAGTTAGTAACAAAGCCTACACAGAACACGCAGGAAGATATGATGATGTAGTTGTGAGCATCAGAGAAGAAGTAGGACGGTGTATGTAGGTGGGTGTGGAAAACTACCAGCTGAGCGTGAGAGCGGGCCAGCTGATGCTTAAGTAGACCTCGATCTCGGGGGTTAACGAGGATAGTTAGCAGGCCTGTCACTGCGCATATGGTAGTGAGTACATTACTAGCCTACAAAACACAGCTGAAAAACTCTGAAAAGAGAGCTGATGGGCGGTGCCTGAAAAGGATGTTCGCCAGCTCTCTTGAGCGAACCACATCAGTCATTGAAAACACTTGGGGTTTACAAAAAGGTCCCATTGGGGACTAGTTGCTGACGTGGAAACGTCCCCCACCAGTACCAGTACCAGTAGTTGAGTCTGATAATTGATATCCGAGGCGTTAGCCGAGGTGCATATTCAATTTTTTCGTCGACCTCAAACACTTAATCAACTTTTCGCTCTTATACACAAGTGAAATCTATCGGATTTCGTGAATAATTAATTTAACAACAGCAACTAACAGTTGTTGTCAACTTTCGCGCGGACTCCAGGGTTGCCAGTTCGATTTTCATTTCATCCGTTAACACCTTGCCAAAAATTCAAATCTATTTTATGCAAATGAATTCCAAGAAAGGATACTGAAATTAACTTATGACTTCAAAATATTATACACTTCAAGTAAACAGAGAAGTAACCTATTTCCAACAAAATCAAAACAACGAAACAAACATTCACTGTAACAAATCCTTCTGAGTGACTGCGAATTTGGTAATGAGTTAATCTAATGAGTGAACTTTTTGAGTAAATATTCAATGAAATCTGGGTATTTTCGCAATTCCTTCCAATAATGACAATGTTTATGACAAATTTGATTGAATAGCACAAATTTTGGAATAAAACAAACAAGGAAACCATATTAGAGTGGCTTTTACTCAATCATTAGATGAAACATGTGAGAATCACTCATTCTCGAGCGATTTCACCAAATAATTGGTGAAAGGGCCGGTCCATGCGCAGTATATTGTTAGCATCTCAGTAATCTCACTGTCTCAGTCCCTTCTCAACGTGCAAACAGTGAACAGTGTATTTGGGAATAACGTGATGACCGTTCTAAGTCACCACAATATTATATGTTTTAATTATTCTTAATGAAGTAAAGGAATGTCCGAATCTCTGTGGTCATCAGCGAGGAAGACTCGAGCCAGGTCGAGACTAAACAGAGGCCATTTTGTCCAATTGATAACGCAGCGTCAGTCTTGATGGAAGTTAAGTGCATAAAAACAATCCTGTGCTTTCCATTTCAGCGAAGTGAATTATAATTGAATATAGAAGTACTTGCTGCAAGTTCGAGCACGAACATGTTATCAGCATGATTATATCTGTGAAGTTTAGGAAAACCTATACTGCGGGTAAGTTTGATTTCGTGAAATACATGATGGCTTTCAACAACATGGCTGATGATCGTGAATTGTATCAAGTAATTCAAATATTCATTTGGATGGTGTGATTTTTAAGAATTGTATTGTATATATAGTGTTGATTTATATCCGATTACCTTGACGTTCAGATAAATCAATATACGTATTCTTCTGTTGAATAGTCCATATCGCCATTGATGTCTTTCACAGCCATGCACGGCCATGTTCGTGTGTTTGCTTTTCACTCAATAGTGACTGAAAATTATTCAAATAAGAGTATTTCAAATCAGAAATGAGTAAATTGAATCATCATTGATCACATTTTTTCCAAATTAGGTATATTGAATCCTAATTGAGAAAGTGTTATCAAAACTGATTGAATAATTCAATTGTGATCATTCATGAGATCGATAAAATATTTGTTTGAAACGATATTCGTGAAATTGTCTCTATTTAGGTAACATATACCCAGAACTAATCTGCTCTGACGAATACATTTTTGAATCAGCTGTTTATATATGCATTTTTTGTCTGCAGATTGATGTCACTGTCAACGTGTCAACGAGCTTGTTAGTAAGATTCTGCAGCGAGAAGAAGTCATACTTGATTTCGGCAGGCGAGACCGAATGTACTGATGATTTCAAATTGTGTTATATATAGCTTTGTTCTTCATTAGGAGTAGCTTGTGATTGTAATTGTATTGTAATCTACTCTGATTGTTAATAAAATTTTGTATTATATATCATATTTACTCAATATTATATAAAACCATGCAGTCATGAAAAGTTTTGAAATACTCATTTTGGGTATAAAAGCCTCGATAAAAGCACTCAATAATGGGCATATAATACTCAATAAATGTTCTAGGCACTCAAAAATGAGTTGAAACTCACTCAAGAAATCACAAAGCTGGAATAATATTCAAATCTGAACTGGGAACATTGACTCAATTGTGATCCCTTATATTCACTCATTCAATTACCATTTCACTCAGTCAAGTAGAGTGAATTTTCAACTCAATCGGGTGTGGACCGAAATTGAGACATTATTGAGTGAAGTTTGAGTGAAAATTCACTCATTTTTTTTTCCAGTGTTCTCAATTCAAAAATACTCACAGATACAGTAACATGGACTTATCATATCTGAGTATAGGAAAAACAGGAACGAATAGTAAAAATGAACAACAAAAATACACTAAATGGCAAAATAATCGATCCAAACAAAATATTGATAAAATGTTATCAACAATAACTTTGGCAATTCAAGTCTAATTTTTGTATTTTTGTTTCCATTTCGTCGGTGGATTCATGCAGAATTCCACAAAAGGTTGACATTTCAAGACATGAGGCATATCTCCAAATTATACAGAGTGACACAAAAATTGCATTCTGTGAAATAGCTGAGCTGGTTACCTACATTAATTTACGTACGTTTGTTTTCCCATTTGTTACGATGACTGCTATTTTGCGAGTGTTACAAGAGGGTATCAGAAAAACGTCACATTTCTACATTATGGTGATAATAACCTTTGGAAATAAGCAATGATGATAATAACGAATGAAACCAGATAAGTGATTCGAAGATGGTTATGAAATTAGTACGACATGTCCCCCTCCCCGTGCACGAATAACTGCTGCAAAATCTTCTTGGCAGATTTTGTATACGCCTGATAGATTTGCTGCCATTCTTCAAACAAAACTTCACTGAGCTCCTGTGAATTTGCAGGAACTGGTGAACGTGTTCGTTCTTTTCTCCCAAGAGAATCTCTGACATGTTCAATTTGGTTCAAGTTTGGGCTTCGAGGGAGCCAATTACATTACTGGGATTCCAGCACCAGCTGAATGCTTATTAACAACTCTTGAAACATGTGGCGTGTATTGCCATCCATCAGCATAAAATCGTCTCCGATTAACGGCGCAAATGGACAACCACGGTTAAAAATCCTATTGAGTGATACTTTCCGTCGAAATTAATATGCACAATTAGTGTCGAATCTTGTTGAATTTCAGTAAAAAGTGTGTAGGTACGTGATTTTTCGATTATTTTTTAAACTTCTGGAATATTTTATGTCAGTATTATTCAAGGTGTATCAATAAAATGTTCATACAATCCGGTGGAGACTTGGATTAACACCTGGACCTGGAGTTGAAATCAAATCAAAATTTCCACCATGTGTGGTTCTAAAACGTGTCTAATATACATATCGGCTGTCATGGATCCCCTTTTCACTATGACTTAGTCCTTCTGTGCAACTCACGCCAACCCACACCATTATGGAACCGCCTTTGAAACTCACTTTTGGCTAGAAATGGTTTTGGAAAAAACGTTCTATATTTCTTAACTCTGAAGTGATTTTTTGAATTTGTCCCCTCTACTGCTTCCCTCTAGCTCAACCTTTTTTAGGTTTCTTCGCGCACTGTTGACTAGAAAACGCTAGCAGGAAGCTAGTAGTTAGTGGTTTCAGACTGTCAGCTCGACGTCACCAGTGATGTAACAAATATGCTACATAGATATTTTTTGTTTCAATTAATTTTATGAGAAATTGAGCGTATTCCATCAGAGGTATATATTCTCATGAAAATGAAATATCATTCCTAAAAGAAATCTTCCATATATCAGGAGCAGAGCAACGAAGACTTCTACATCCCCTGAAAACATGTATGACAGATGGAGAGGATATTGAATGGAATTGTATTTTTTAATAGTACCTATAATCTGACTTCCAATTATGTTTCCTTCGGGCAGAATGATAAACTGACTATATTTTGATTGTGTATATTTTTTTATCACAAAAAAATTAAATGTCTCCCAGATCGACGTCACCACTCTTTTTGCCATTTTTGGTGAAACCACGTCACCACTGGAGGGTTAAGTGAATTCTTTTATGTCCATCCGATGATCTGAGACAAAACCTCAACTCGTCGGTGAATAGGATAGTGCTTCATTGTTCATTACTCCAATATACCTGTTCCCTAGCATATCTGAGGCGTTTAACTCGATGATTCCTCAATAGCTCTGGAACAGTTGCAGTGCTTCTTGCTCGGAGTCCAATATCGAAAAGCCTCATTTATATTGTTTTATCACTGACCTAAACATGCCTCACCTCCTTTTGAGCGTTACAAAGCAATTATCTCGATCATTCGCAGATTTTTTCCGACCACAATTATTATCTCTTCTTGTGTACATAAAATTCACGTAACCATTCAACATCTGCTTGCGCCCTAGATCTTGAACTTCCCAAAACTCTGGGAACATAATATTGTGATATATCATCCTGCACCCAAAGCAATGGCTCTCGCTGGAGTCGGTTGCTGAAAGATCCATATCTTTTTCAACCATTCGATGATAAACACGAGCATACAAATTATGAACTGGGTCTGTCACAGCCGGCTTTGCAAAAAATGTTTTCTTGGGAGAACATGTGAAAATGTAACGATTTTATAACCCTTGTAACGTCCATAGAAGAACAGTTATCGTAACGTATCGTAATAAAAAATTACACGATGTGCCAGCTAAATCACTCCACAGATTGTTTCAAAATGGGACTGAAACTGCACTTTTTGTGTCACCCTATATAATTTGAAGATTTGCCTAATTTCTTGAAATGCTTACTTCATGTGAGATTCCTCACGAAATTACCTATTGAATTAAAACAAAAACAAATCGAACTTGTTGGATTAACAAACTTATGGTTGATAAAATGTTCTCAATATCTTGATTGGATCGATTATTTTGCCGGTGAGTGTACAAAACAAATGGAAGAATTGAACATAAGGAATAATCTGTAATAACAGAGGTATATGAAAAATTGAATTTGATCTGATTCAGATTTTTTTCTTCTGGTTGTTATCTCATTTCTCTTCCCCAAACCCTCATCAATACAAGCTGTCACTGTCAAGCTAGTGAATTTTGTTTTCAGGCACTCTGATAGGAGGATTCTCCAAACGCAATGGCATTTTGGAGCGAATCATCTGAATTGGAAAAATATTCATATTTTTTGATTTTATATAGACGAGGAGATAAATTCCTAAGAAATCTGGCACAGCTGGCAAAGCTGGAGATCTACTGGAACTTCAGTGAAACTGGCAACCCTGCAGCGAACCGAAAGTTTCTGCGGACGAGAAGTCCTGCCTTCAGAAATAGTCAGTTTTTCGTTCGGAAATTAGAACGTAAAATGTGATTTTTTGTAGAGGTCGACGAAAAAATATTGATGGTAAAATGCAATCGATTCTATCGATCGTGTGAGTTCCACTCATTATACAAACGTGGTGAAAAATACCAAAAGTGTGTATACCTGGCGCTTCAGGCCTGACAGGCTGTGGCATCACAGCAGGCTTCCCACCTGCTGGACCCTGATGTTGACCGTAGCTGTTCCCGTTGTAACTCTGCTTGGGCACGAAGGAGGGGTAGTTGACCAATGGCGGCTGGTTCAAGGAGGGGTAGTTCACCAAGGGGTTTTGGTTCATGGAGGCGACTGGTTGGGGATGGGGCATGGGGGGCAGCCGCGGGAAGGAGGGGTTCTGGAAGATGGGGGGTCGGTTGGCTACGGAGGTGCTGTAGCGCGAGCGAGAGGGGATTATGTTGACGTTGACCTCGGTTTTGGCGGGCAGCTGACCATCCGAGACCGTTACCCAGAAGTGGAGGTTCTGACCGGCCTGAAATGGAAATATACAATGTAAATATAAGCTTAGTGGTAGAAGTTTATACAGTAGATAAGATGAAATGAGGAATAACAGAGTAGTAATTCAACCAACCAAATTATTCATCTCTTTTACCGCCCGAGACACTTGAACACAGTGTTGTCATGATGGGCACGATGATAGAGTTATTTTAAGTAACTCGGTCGTTATCGACCCTGTGGGCAAGAATGGGTTAATCGCCGAGTTGATTACAGAATTTTACCGTCTAATACATTTCTCCTGTAATCACCTGATCAACTTATGGCAAATAACAGAAAGAACACAACACACAACTGGAGAATGAGATAATATAAGAATTTTCCTTGAATATTCACAATATTTTGACCCTGGATGTAACTAGATGATAAGTTTTGATGTAGAAGGTGACATACGAGAATGAAGTTAGAAAGTTTGGTTAGATTTCTGTTTTCTTCTTGACATTTCTGTTCACTCTCAGCATCACGCTGTTGCCAGGGTCACAAAATAGTTTGGGTTTGTATAAAATCTCTAGCATTATAAGGAATATTAGGACATTCTTATTGACACTGAAGCATCGTGTAAGCTATATGAGTATTCCATGATTATTATCTTGATTTTCAGGAACCAGGTGAAACCGTCATATTATGTGAATGAGAATACTGTTGTGGTTGATTGAATCTCATAAGGTAATCACTAGTAATACATTTGGCAGCGTTGAAATATGTGTGGTTATCTTCGCATTGGTTGTCGAGTATTAAAGGTACATATATAAACAAATATCACTATTGCCACGTGAGAAAGTGCTGGAATTTTCCGAAGGTGCCGATTCTGATCGATGGAAAATGTATTCAAATACTATTATATTCGGAATAATCGATATAAAATAGGTTTGTGGCGTAAATTCGACTCTGTCGTCAAACAAATCAAATGAGTGGGATAGAAACATAAACCCACTTGATTATACCAAAGTACGTGTTTTAATGGGCCGAAAATCCGTTCTATGATGAAAAGTACGTGTCTTTGATGGTCAAAATCGGTATCATGAGAGCAATTTCAAGAAATCGGTAGTAGAAATTTGATTCGCGTATTGTAATACTGAAGTAATAAATTAGTATATTTTGTAATTGCTACATTACGCATTACAAACTATACTTTACCTATACGGCTGGCTATATACAATGTGCCAAAAGAGTCTGGACATAATAATATGACTGTATCTCATTGCGTATTCTGTGGTATTGAAAGTTCTCGTTTTCTGTAAGATATTTCATCAATGATTTTCTCATTCCTCAAGAAATGTTGCACGGGGAAAAACATTACTAACCCTAAGTAAATATTCGATAGTGTCGAGTAAAAATTCTAATATTATTTGGGACAACAAAACAAGTTATTAACCACAAAAATATTTGTGTTCTTGAAAATATACACCTTCCACTATCAACCTGTTCCATTGAATTGCATATCGATAGCCGTCAGTGAGCACAGCACTTGTCATTTGTGACTCATCTGCTTGTCAGTAGTTTCCTATCCACTTATCATTAGTGACTTATACACTTGTCATTAGTGACTTATTTATTAGCGATTAGTGAATTATTCACATGTCATTAGTGACTTGGTCACTTGTCATTAGTGACCTAATCACATATCATTAGTGACTTATTTACTTGTCATCAGTGTCATTAGACCTAAACCTCAACATCCAAAGTAAAAGTTTTCCTCCAACACCAAATTGCTCTACATTGTCCCCTTATTCTATGGTAAAAAGTTACATCATTTTGAGCGTCGGGTTTGGGGGTGAGGGGGGGGGGAATTTGAAAAATCACTAGTTTTTTTAGTTTTTCGTAAATATTTCAAAAACTAAGCGGTTTATCCTAAACATTGTTATATACAAAAATGTTCTTCGTTTAATTTTAAATAGGAATGGTACTCTTCATAATCACTCTAAATTGCACGGTAATTTTTTTTTAAAATAAGCTTCGTAAAAGAATGTTGCTATTTCAGTGGCCGGTGGTATGTTAGTGATAAGCCCTTGAAGAAACGACAACCTCACCACCTTATCAAGGGGCACTCTTTTTTAAGGGAAAAGAGGCTTCCACAGGCCTAGGCCATATAAACCTGTGGTACGGAGAAACCCACCCTGAACTTTCTACGAACATTGCAACATAAATTCACTTCTTAAGCATGAATATCTTTCAAATTTGGAATGTTCAATGTCTTTATTAACTTCACTCAAATTCAAACTCATCCTCCAGCACATTATCCTCCTCCTCTAGCTCGTCGTCTAAGATATTATTATTGTCCATGTTATCACATGCTTGGCCTGAGCAATTGCTGCATATGCTAGTGCAGTTTAGACCACTCCTTCTGCATTCACAATTACGAACGCATTCATCTTTGCAAGTACTCATTATAAGGGACAGTAATTCCTGGGGGGCTGCAGGACGTGCTGTTGTAATTGGTGTCAGGTGGTCGCCAATCTTCTTCCAACCCCACTCGAGTGGATCCTTATCTTCATTCAGCCACTGTTGTACCTATGGTGGTAGGTCCTAAATGAATGCTGTCTGGACGCTCCTGAAGTGGGGGGTAGTGCATCTAACTTCAGTAATGCATGTATAGGCTGCTTTGCAATCGCAAACGTGTGTTATTGGTGATGACACGGACTTATTAGTACTGTTGACTGTCCACGCACCTTCAGGGAATATATGGGGATATGAAAGATGTACTTCTGGTTACATAAGCCTTCACAGGATGTGACACTGTGTCTGCTGTTTATAAGAAGGGAAAAATTGCACCTTATAGGAAAGTTCAAGCCAACAACGTTCTTCGTGAAAAACTTCTGATCTTCAACAACCCCAAAGCCGACATCAGTGCAGTGGCTGATGCAGGAAATTACTTCCTACTTGCAATGTTTGGAGCCAAGAACACTGAAGATCTAGATTGTCTCCGCTACCAGTCCTACTGAAGTAGGATGCACTACCCCCCACTTCAGGAGCGTCCAGACAGCATTCATTTAGGACCTATCACCAGGTACAACAGTGGCTAAATGAAGATAAGGATCCACTCGAGTGGGGTTGGAAGAAGATTGGCGACCACCTGACACCAATTACAACAGCACGTCCTGCAGCCCCCCAGGAATTACTGTCCCTTATAATGTGTACTTGCAAAGATGAATGCGTTCGTAATTGTGAATGCAGAAGGAGTGGTCTAAACTGCACTAGCATATGCATCAATTGCTCAGGCCAAGCATGTGATAACATGGACAATAATAATATCTTAGACGACGAGCTAGAGGAGGAGGATAATGTGCTGGAGGATGAGTGAAGTTAATAAAGACATTGAACATTCCAAATTTGAAAGATATTTATGCTTAAGAAGTGAATTTATGTTGCAATGTTCGTAGAAAGTTCAGGGTGGGTTTCTCCGTACCACAGGTTTATATGGCCTAGGCCTGTGGAAGCCTCTTTTCCCTTAAAAAAGAGTGCCCCTTGATAAGGTGGTGAGGTTGTCGTTCCTTCAAGGGCTTAGCACTAACATACCACTGGCCACTGAAATAGCAACATTCTTTTACGAAGCATATTTTTTAAAAAAATTATCAAAATTACGAAAAAGTTAACATTTACACCGTCTGTAACTCTTGAACCGTACAATTTAGAGTGATTATGAAAAGGACCATTCTTATTTAAAATTTAACGTAGAACATTTTTATATATAACAATGTTTAGGATAAACCGCTTAGTTTTTGAAATATTTTCGAAAAACTAAAAAAACTAGTGATTTTTCAAATCCCCCCCCCCCAAACCCGACTCTCAAAATGGTGTAACTTTTCCCCAAACAATAAGAGGGTTATATAGAACAATTTGGAGTTGGAATAAAACTTTTACTTTGGATGTCAAGGTTAGGCCTTTTTTTAGGTTAATAACACCGTACTAATATATCGTTCTCTGAACAATGATAACGTTGTGAAAATAAAAAAAAAAATATTACATTTGGAACATTTATTGTATATAGCTATCAGGGATCCACAAAGCTCAAAAAGGTAGGGATGACGACAAATATTGAGAAACTAGATACCGGGTATATCAAGATCATGCGCAAAGAAAAACGTCAATCAGATTTACTGGTAAATGTTAATCAACTTCCATACTCATTAAACGTTACTGTCTCCCAGTTCGAGTATCATCGGAAGTGGAAAAATATCATGTATACAGTGTGTCCCACTTACCATCCTCACCATGGGTATCTTTTTAGCGGTGAGAGATACGAGGTCGGTTAAATGACATCAAATGTGGAGTTTGTCAAGGCCAACTATAATGTGAAAAATATTTTGATAAAATCTATTCGTTTTTGTTCTATACGCAAAAAACAGATTTTGATTATTTTCATGTCTCCTCCGTAACTTCTTTATTTATGAAAATATTCAAATAGGAATTTCACATTCTCATGGCAGTTTTTCAAAGTGATTTCCAAAAAAATATGAAATTTATACCAACTCTTCTAGAATTTGATATATTAGCACCAACTCCAGTTTTCCAAATGTAGGTCATAGCTCACTATGACTTAGTAACAAATAACTTTTTTTTCTCTTTCAGATGATATATCGCAGTAATAGTTTTGTGTTGATAACAACGGAGTTATCGTCATTTATACAAAAACAAAAAATTCTTTGGAAGCCGCCATCTTGAATTTATAAATTTTAACAAAGAATTCATGATCACACAGTGTTGTCATGATGGGCACGATGATAGAGTTATTTTAAGTAACTCGGTCGTTATCGACCCTGTGGGCAAGAATGGGTTAATCGCCGAGTTGATTACAGAATTTTACCGTCTAATACATTTCTCCTGTAATCACCTGATCAACTTATGGCAAATAACAGAAAGAACACAACACACAACTGGAGAATGAGATAATATAAGAATTTTCCTTGAATATTCACAATATTTTGACCCTGGATGTAACTAGATGATAAGTTTTGATGTAGAAGGTGACATACGAGA